GGGACGACGCCGACGCTGGTACAGTGTGACAGCAGCACAACAACAATATCGAGACGCACAAATTAGCAGAACGACAAGGCAAACCAAAACTGCCAAAATCAGTGCACGTAAACTCAGTCTCGCCTGCTGCTTATATACAACTGTAATTTTCCTACTGCACTTGTACCGAAGTATGTACCAATGTACAACGGCCGCTAGCAACGCCTTGACCAGCAGCAAGAAAGAAAGTAGAGATGAAATTAAGCAACGGCAACTTAGCGCAGTGCAGTGACCTTTTACATATACTGATTTGGCGCGACAAATTTCTAACCAACGTTTGGTTATGTGCTTATGTATTCTGTATGTACGAGTATGTACTTATGTATGTATAAAAAAGAAAGAAATAAATTCAATTGTCTACGAGAATACAAGTATGTACAAGTATGTATGTTTGTGTTTACTTTCATTATTTCATAAAGCTCCCATAGCTGTGCGTTAGTAATTATGTCTTTCTTTAATTGAGATGTCGAATGCCAAATAAATCACGGTCCACTCTATTTGCTTAATTGACAAATGAATATGAGCATATAAATTTGTTACAGTAGACACCAATGTTCACTTGGGGGCGCCAAAATGTAGGGCTTAAGTCGGTAACTTGCCGGTATGGCAAAATCAAACGGTTCACAAAAAAACTGTATGTAGAAAGAAAGACTTGTGTCTTCCTACGCGTTTTATTGACTCAAAAGAATAAAACGTTCATACAGCTTGACTTTAATATTACAAGTGCTCTTTTAATTGCAGAGAAGAATAGAAATTGCATAGAAAGGCGGCCGCCGTAAGCACAAACATAAGAGCGGCAATTGCAATGCTCGCAAGCAGCTGCAGCGTACGACACTTTTTTTCTTAAGACTATATGTTGATTTCAATTATAATTCTCTTAAATACTATTTAATACTATTTAAAACTAAGTGAAATGCCTTTACACATTCTATATGATAGTATTAGAGATTAGAGAGTTATTTCCAAACACTCGTTCTCAGACCACAGATACATTCAATTCAAATGTAAAAAAAACAAATGCAACTAGAAACCCTAGACGCACCAATTGGCTTTCGCTTTCATACCTCTTAGAGAATATCTTACCAGAAATACCCTCAAGACCCGCGTTTACCCTAACATTTATATAAAGTTTTACCACGGCTATGAAAAAATCGTGCCCCGTCGGAGTGCCGCGCTGCGCCCCTCACAATGAGGGGAAATAGCCTGCCAGAGTGTAAGAAAACACTCACACAAGCGAAACGATCCTCCTGGCAGACGTTCTGATCGGATATCGAAGGCACCTCCGATGCCGCAAGGCTATGAAAGGTACTTTAAAAAACCACCATTACATTGGGTTACTACAGAAGCCAGATAAGTCATGGACAACCTTAAGTGAAGAGCCACTCGAGCTATTTCTGAACACTTTTCTGGCTGCGCAAGTACCAAACCAACCAGTAGCACGCCAAGCACTGCTCCATCCCAAATACCTCCTGAGTTACTATCTCACAGTAAAATCTGATGGGTAATAGGAAGTAAGAAGAAGACAACATCACTCCGGGTCAGCCCATCCACTATCTTCCGCAAAATCATCTACAAAGGAACCATTCCGGAAGCATGACTCAGCTCGAAAGTGATCTTCATAACCAAAGCGGGTTAGGCCTCATTTACAACCACAAAAGATTTTCGACCTAAAAGTCTCTCGTCCTTCCTACTGAAGACGAAGCATAGTCCCCAGAAATGGCACTTCATGCTGTTATCTCAAAATTGAGAAATCTCTCACCATCAAGGAATATACCCTTGTCACATTCTTAGACATAGAAGGCGCCTTTAACACAATCACTCGCTTACATACTGGGAGTGGATAACTCTACCGTTGACTTTGTTAGACACCTCATAACCGAGTGATCCATCAGTGCTACGTTGGGGTCGTCCACAGTATCCACATACGTGGTCGAGGAACACTCAATGAGGTATCCTCTCACCCCTCCTTTCACCGCTACTATCCTTAAAAGGTATGGGGGTTGGCATTCTGTTGCTTACGCAGATGACGTAGCCATATCTTTTTCGGGAAAGTTTCCTCGCGTAAGTGATGCTTTTAGCACATTATCTATCGAATTATCGAATGTGAATGTAACGAACTTCACGTCCACAAAATTACACGTTTTAATGTGGCCTATCAGCGACAAAAAACGCTCAGCAGAGCTCTGCAAGTTCAATAGAAGCCAATGCTAGGCGACAATCAGAGCCATCACCGGGCACTGGCTGGTAGGCGTTCATGCCGCTGGGCTAGGGCTCCTGTCGCAGTTATCAAGATGAGGAAGAAACATTATCCCACCTCTGCTGCGACTGCCCAGCTCTACTGAGATCAATACAAAGATACTATTTAGAGGAGGCATTGGTTTGTACCTCCTTTGGCCCCATTATAATTAATTTGATGTAATTTAAATAATAGGCCAAGCTACGTGGCGTGTCGCGTGACGTTCCAAAGCAGCGGCCCTAAGACCGACCCCTGAGGAACTCCAGCGACGACATTAACGGTTTTGGTGCCTGATGAGGTATGATATCTAAGTAAGCGATTGCTTAGGTAACTTCTAATGGAGCGTACTAAGTGCGATGGTACCCCCTGAGCTGCAAGTGCGTTGAGGATGCATCCCCAATCTACCGAGTTGAACGCGTTTTTGACGTGGAGGGTCACCACAAGGCAGTATTCCTTTGATCCACCTTTCCACCTGTTGCCTGATATCGCCTTAGATGCGATGTCCACCACTTTGCTGATTGCGTCAATCGTGGACCTCTGTTTCCTGAACCCGAATTGGTTTGGAGATAGGCCGATGGCTGCCTCGAGCCTCACGCACAGCAGTCTCTCCAGAACCTTACCGATTGAGTCCAGGAGACAAATCGGCCTGTACGACGAGGGGTCTTCAGATGGCTTGCCAGGTTTTGGCAGCAAGACTAGGTTCTGCACCTTCCAGCAATCTGGGAATATTCCTTCTCTGATGCACTTTCCAAAGAAAGCGGCGAACGTCTCGAGGTGCATGCACAATGCCAGTTTGAGGGCGCGGTTCGGTATTGCGTCGGGGCCCGGCCCCTTTGTTGGGCTTCAGGCTGCGAGCGGCTAGTATCACTTCATCCGTCGTGACGTCGTCAATGGTGGGCGATAGTGCGCCTGTGGTGGATATCAGAAATGGCGTCTCTGGTCTCGAGGCGAATAGAGTTGCGTCAATCCGAGCGAGGTTCTCGGCATCCAGGGGTGCGTCGCGACCACCAGCATGAATGCGCTTTACTACCAGCTTATACGCCTTCCCCCAGGGATCCTGTTCTGCGGAGTCGCACAAGTCTAAAAAACATCTCTTCTTGCTTGCTAAGATAGCCCTTTTCAGCAGTCGCCTAGACTCCCGGTAGGTATCCTGCCTGAGCGAGAACAAGGGCGAACCACGTGCTCTCTGGGCCCCTCTCCTTGCACTGATGCATGATCTGAGTAGTACTGCGATATCATTATTCCACCAGTAAACTGGAACGTAGTGGCGCCTGTATGTCGAGCGTCTGACCATGCTGGCGTCGCATGCAGTACGAATTTGGGACGCGGCGTCTGGAGCCATGGTCTGCGGGTCCCCGGAGAGGCAAAAGCCACTGAGGGCTCTCGCAAATGAAGCTGGGCAGAATGACTCCAGCTTGTATGCCACGTTGTCGGGCGGTGGATTCGTAAAGTTTCGGGATGTATCGCCGACTGTAACTATGATGGCCACGTGGTCGCTTGCCGTGTAAGCGTCGCTTATAGTCCACTTGGTATGGCTGTGGAGGGAGCTGCTAGCGTACGTCAGGTCGATAATGGAACCGATGCCTGCCCTGCTGAATGTGTGTCGCGACCCAGTGTTCAGTAGCGTCAGATCCAGCCCTGAAAAAGCTTCAAGTACTGTACGACCTCGAGCTTTAGTGACGTCGCTGCCATTAAACGAGCGAAAAAAAAAAACAGGTCGTAACACTCAACCGAAAACAAAAACGAAGACAAACGAAGTGTTCTGCTCAGAACGAGATCAAGCATGCCTGCTTTTTTCGGTTATGTTCGTGATTACACCGCAAAGGGAAAAACGGTTAACAGTTATTTGCATGCTCTGGTACAGAGTATAAAAAATTAATTTAAAAAATTTAATTGATTTAAAAATTTTAATTAATTAATTAAATTAAATACAAAGTATTCAATACATGCATTCACACAAGTATTTATGTACAATTTCAACAGCATACATTTGCATCAGAATCGTATAGAAGAAAGTAAAGAAATAAGTCAAAGCACCAACAGCAACGACAGCTGCCGGCAGAGCTTGGGGAGAACTTCAGCAGAGCTTCGGCAGAGATTATGTATATAATATATATAATTGTATATATATAATTTACCTATCATGATGAAACTAGGCATACGGATTCATAATCACTAACTGGAGATATTTGCCCAATTTGAGTACGGTCCATTCTGAGACATTTATAGCCATATAGTTGTTGTTGCTGTTGTTGTTTAACCTTGTGCTGCGTACATACACGCATATAAACACGCAGAGACACGATTCTGTAGTAAATTTAATCTATTGAAATTTTACATACACACTTATGTAGTATATATGCATTGTGTTGAATATTTTATATTTAATTAATCAATTAATTTTTTTAAATAATTGTTTTTTAAATTTTTTTGTGGAGAGTACAGGGTATTTTACTGTCGGGCTTGACGACTGTAGCGTTCTATCTTGTGTTCTACTGGGTATCCTATAGAAACATTTCAGGAAATGAGCTCAATGAGAGAAGAGGAACATATAATTGTAAGCAAAACAACTTACTAGTCCTGCAAATGCAGACATTACCTGCTAGAGCGGACAAGTATTCTCTAAGCTCATTTTTATTGAACTCTGAAATATTAGTCTATAATGAGGAATGTTCAGGTGAATCGCTCTTTATACATACCTATTGTAGAAATGATGAATACTTACTGATCATTTTCAAAATAAGGTGGTGAGTTAGTACGATCAGGCAGAAACAATGCTAATTGAACTGTAGTTGCCATTGATGATGGCTCTTTAGGGTCAACCTTAACTTCTTCCGCAATTACAGATAGTAGAACAGGATCACCTGCATGTATAATTGATGCGATTTCATCTATGGGACGCATTAGAAAAATTTCACCTGTAATATAATTTAGAATATTATTATTAAGTAAAATATATTGTTGAATAGCAAATATAATTATAGTATAAAATATAATTGTAGTACGTTCGTTTTTTAAGACAAAGTCTGACTTATCTCAATAGATAGTTCTTCTTTTACTTAATATAGTTTGACTAATTATAGTATGTGATAAAATTAATTTTACTCATAAAAATCAATCAAAAACTTAAAATAAACTCGTGTTGCCTAGGGACTTGGAGGGGGTGCATACTAAGTTTGGTTAATGTACGCCCAGCCGATTCCAAAATCCATGCGTTCATTCAGATGGACGGACATGTCTAGATAAATTTCTCTCGTCATGCTGAACTCGCTCTTGGGGTTTTCGTCCAGATTGCCATTCGCTTGTTCTTACAATTTTGGTTGTTCGCCGAAGTCAGTCTTCGGGCCTTGGTGCGTGCCTTGCTGTCGATTCTCCTGAGTACCACCTCCTCATGTCCGTAGAGTAGGAGGATTTGGAGATGACTCGTTCCTGTCCATCGGCCTCCTGCGTTACTCCCGTACCGATCGGTTAACAATCGGTAAAATAGATCAGCAGAAAATCAATAGACATACAACAAAAATGTAAGAAACCAGGCTGAAATCAGACGCGATAATGAAAGTGATGAGCAATGCAAAGAACGCCTTCGAGCTAATGCATTGAGACTGGCCCGTCAACGAGTCACCGGCACATTCAAAACCCGTGAACAACAGCGTTCGCAAGTATATCGAGCATTGACACGTGCATCACTTCTTCGCCTTGTGTTTAAATATGAGTCTGACATCGACTATTTGTCACATTCACAAATTTTAAATTGGTGTCAGGCATCGGCATTAAAGAACCAATTTGATGATACTCTTGGCACTTAATATTAAAGGTTGATTGAAAATTGCAACCATCCTCATTCTGAGCTCCAAATGATCCCACAAAAATTTTTCGGGAATTTTTAAACCTCGCCTGTTTTGCCATGAGTTTTGATTAGAAACACTAACAAAGACATTTTTCCAAATAAAAATCATTAGAATATAATTGTTCTTATAGTTTTTCTGGACAATCTTCATCAAAAGTATTTTGCATATTTAAATATAAATAAATTATTAAATCATCAAATTACTAAATTATAGTTAAAACACAAATCACATTCAGCATTCACACATAGCATCCAAAACAACCGCACAATAGAGATGCCCCATTGGCCCAAATAGAACATTACATTTTTCGAACATCACTTTTGGCTGAGTTAAGTCTGAATTCCTGAGTCAAACGAAAATAAAAAAATAAAATAACGAACTGACGCAATTCTTATTTCAAATAAGTACCAAATAAATGTGTATTAATTAAATGAACTTGCCAAAAAATGTGTGTCGCCGAGTGGCAAGGTCAAGATGCATCTAAATTTTTCTAATTTCTGAATTCAATTTCAAATGCTAATTTTTTATAGGGGAACACATAGATCGCCACAACAGGACGCAATTCCGTCCAATTTATGGAAGCACAGACATTGCGCAAAATTCCAAATGTTACAAATAAATTTAAGTTTTAATAAGCAACATAAGTGGAATTCTTTAGTAGGAGCAGGTGAGCTTCTCAAACATTTGCGTTGTATATTTTCAGCATTTAATTGGCGTTCCCGCAAATTCTTGCTGGCTAATATTAATGAAAATGGCATATTTGTTTGTTATTTAACTAAGTACGTTACAGAATTTAAACCCAATTAGTCAGTCAAAAATATTTATATATAATTTGTCGGTGTTTTCTGTGGCACACAGTATGACAAACTGTGATTCAAAGGTGAAATGCGATATTTTAGGATGAACATGCGTACACCACAAGACACTACATAATGCTTTGCCCAAAAGCCAGCCAACTTTAAACAAGACGACAAGTCAAGACACGAAGAAAACAGCACCAATGTTAACTTGCGTTTCAGCATCGCTTAGCCAATATTTGAAAATTATTCCTGTAGTACTTTATGGCCCAAATGGCAGATGCGAAACTTTTGCTATGTTTGATGAAGGGAGCGCTATTACATTATTGGAAGAAAATATTAGGTTTGACTGGTCAACGTCAACCTTTAAACTTGCAGTGGCACGATCAAAATGTGATCACGGTAATGTATGTACACATGTAAAAAATAGTTTTGAGATTGCTACTGGTAAAGACAAAGTAAGATACACCGTAAAGGGTGCACAGACAGTGCAGAAATTGAGCCTGCATAATTGCATATTTACATAGCAATTGCGTCTGTGTGAGTGTATGTATGCCTATGCGCATCTATTCGTGTCTGTGTAAGCATTTTCGCAGTCAACCAAACAGCAACATCAACAACAGCCGCGGGCAGCGCTTGAGCAGCGATGCAGCAGCAAATATATTTATGGCTATAACTTTTCGTTAAATCGGTCTATCATAGTGAAACTTGGCATACGGACACATAATAACTAACTGGGGGTATTTCCAAAATTTTAGTTCGAAATTCCAAGAACTACGGGAGTTACGATTTGCATGGGAGAGGGGGGAGGGAGGGAAATTCCAGAATAAACATTTCCTGCGTATTCACATAAGGCATCTGGGACTAAAATTTGGTGTCTTATAGTCTCCGAGATATAGGCGATTATACGAATGGAAAATCGGGAAAACCCCCCCAAAATTTGGTGTCTCTATCTCTTATAGTCTCTGAGATCCAGGTGTTCATACGGACGGACAGACGGACAGACAGACAGACATGGCTAGATCGACTCGTCTTGTCACGCTGATCAAGAATATATATACTTTGTGGGGTCTGCCACGCCTCCTTCTGCCTGTTACATTTTTCAGCTCCCGCAAACCTAATATACTCTTGTACATTTCATGTACAGAGTATAAAATTTATTTAACATTTTTAAAAGTAATTTTTTGTTTGTTTAGTACATTTGGCATTAGGGTTTCCATTAGTAACTTTATGCAGCAACAACAAATTACAAAGAACGCAAATATTAAATAGTTGGGGACATCATATACACACACTCACACATAGAACAAGCAACAGTTCGTGTCTATGTATGAAAATGTAAAGAGAAACATGCATGCATATGTACATACATATGTATGTATGTATGCGTGTGTACGTACATATATAGCATGTATGTACATTCGTATGTATGTATATATGCATACACTAGCAGGTATTGCCCGTCTTAACCCGGCTCAATATGTTTCCAATTGTATTTATTTTGTTTTCACCTTATAACTTACCAGTAGGAAGGCATTTAAGGTATTTAAATGAACATTTTCTGTTCTTGACAAAAAATTGTTCAGTAGTCCGTTACATTTTTGTTCTTGACAAACTATTCCGTTAAACGAACATGACCACTATAACTAATATTTTTTAAAGCTTGTTTTCCCCCCGTTGGAGCTAGAATTTTCCAAAAGCCTTTCTTAGTGTGCTCCTACACTATGATGGATACTATGAAACGATACTTGAGTCCAAATTTAAATTCACATTTGAGTCTTTTCGTGCCATCTACGGCCACGCACAAACTCGGAATATGAAACACGGCACTCGTGTCAATGCCGTGCAGCGATGAGCCACGATCAAAAAGCACTGGCACCGATACCATCAAAATATCGAAGTTTGAATGCAATAAGCAGAATATTTAAATAATGAAATCGAATTATTTATTGAGATCAAAATAAGAACAAATCATATACATACATACATACATCTGCCCGCAATGCGAAGCAGAATATGCGTAGCTTCGTTATTCGGTTTCTGCTTTACTATCGCTTACGCAGTCGTTGCCTAGCGACGGTAACTGTAACATTTATACATTAATACGAATGTACATACATGCTATATTTATACACAGGCATACATACATATGTACATATGTTTCTCTTTACTTTTTCAACCGTACGTAAAGAACCGCACACATAGACACGAACTGTTGCTTGTTGTGTGTGTGAGTGTGTGTATGTGATGTCCCCAACTATTTGATATTTATTGTTGCTGCATAAAGTTATTAATGAAAACACTAATGCCAAATGCACTAAACAAAGAAAAAATTACTTTTAAAAATGTTATATTATATAATTTTCAATTAATTAACATTTCTTGCTCTGTCAGTGCAAGACGAATGTACATACATACATATGTAGATACATATGTACATACATAGATGTGCACATACATATGTTTCTATGGACATTCACACATTAGTGTCTCACATTTTGCTTTGGCTATTTCAATCGTTTGCACGCAACTACACGAACAGCTGTTTGCATGTGTGTGTATGTATACTTAGTTTGTTCTGCCAGCTTTTGTAAAATGCATATTTTGAAAATCCTTGAATGCAAAGTTGTAGATTTAGTTACGTAGATTACATTATCCAAATTTTAAATCGATCGGACTAAATTTATAACACAAACTTTTCATTTTAAATAGTGAATAAATATTAAAATAATTCAAGCTCCAACACAAAATTCGATACTTGAGCCCAAATTTCAGCTTCATAGCTCTTGCTGTTGGCGCAGATGCTGCTTTAGATTAAGACAGTTTAAGATAATTATTTGAATTTTAGTTTAGGGCGAGAAGAGAGCGCGAGAGCGGCCGTTTGCGGACGTCGCCTCGCGACCAAACGGAAGTTCCTGAGCCAAAGTCGACTTCACAGGTACTGTGCTAAAGTTTGAAAGCGGAATTTAACCAGCGAATTGCTTATTTCGGCCTTCAACTTTCAACCTTTGGTACATACGTGACCATAATATAATACGGTAGATAGTTGAGCATAATTAACACAAATATAAATCGTATGTCGTACTAATATTAAATAAAAGTGAACCGCTATAGGCAATTATTTAAAGTGCCAATTTATTGTCGTTTGATTTTGTTATACATACAAGTACATACATACAAAAATATACACAGCCACTTTTACATACGGCATCCCCCCCACGTCAATCTCAGCCAACCGTCGGCAGTTTTCGTTTGTTGCTTGCTCTCGTTGTT